CAACAATGATATACTTGGTGCTAAATGTGACATAAACTTGGGTAACAGAGAAAATTCTCATATTCAGATTATTTTCCCCTCATTGTAGAGTTAAATGTTAATATGTATCTTAAAAACTAGAGTGTATATTAGAATCTCACAGATTTGTAATTTAAACTGTCGTTAAGATAAATCAGGTCTTTTATTGTCTGTTTTGTAAATGAAGTTCCCTGATTCATCCAAGCATTGGTCTTTAAACTATTTTTTCCAATATCAATGAACAGTCATGATAATGTCACAGGAGGCCTTGTCACTTGTGATACCAAATTTGTAAAGTCACACAGCCAAAGGATTTCAATAGATTCAAGTCAATATATTATCTCTAAAATTTATTTTTTAGGAAGAAGTAGGTCCAGCAATTTCTTTCATATCGCAATATTATTTTATATTAAACGATTGTAGGCCAATATGCCAAGTTGAATTACACTGTATTGAATAGTTGATCAATGATCACAGATTCACAGAAGGTTCGATGAACTCGATTTATTTCCTTCATTGTTCATGGCATTCACGTCCTTAATCCTTTTGTACACCATGAAATATCACCAATCTATCACTCAAAACATATTTTACGGCGATCGGACTAACCACACATAAGCTATATAACTTTATATGTTTATCACTATTCGCCAAAGACCGAGGTGAAATTAATCGATGTATGACAATGGCCAAATTCCACGCTTAAATTCGTTTCTCATCCTCATAGTGACAATTAAATCAAAGAACAACCTCTTCTTTATGATATTTCAAAGTATCATGAGTTTTGCTTGGGTACATAAAAAGCTAGAGCACTTTTAGTGGCTCTATTTCGTATTCCGCCATATTAACTCCTATACAATTTCCTCTGGTTTGGTTGCTTTCAACATGGCGGCCATTCCGGAAGTCGGCTGACATTCTGGCACACTTTTTACCCTTGAGTGAACCTTCTGCCCTATATCTATGCTGTGACAATGCTACGCTTGTATCGCGTGACTCTGGAAATGCCAGAAATGGATTCTACAGGTCAAAGTGCACCCATACGCGTGAGTTTGACGTCATCCTGGCTAAAGGAGCTCCTTATTGGCCAAGTATTACGTAATACAGGCACGTGCGAGTAAAACCCGATACTTTAAAAATTCAAAATAAATATTTCTGGTCGGCGTATACATACGAAACTTTCTACACCAAAGCGCTTGAGTACAAAGAGTATTTTACACATATAGCCTTTCAGAAAATGACGAAAAGTTTAGAATATATTCAACTTTTTCTCTTTTTCTCGTTTGAATGTTTGGCGAAGCGGTGAGTATAATATATGAAATATGACTGTTTCGGTTTGTGTAATGTTTTGACGGCACTTGACCCCCCGTTCGAAAGGTTATTTTGTGAGGATTACAATGGTGGGTTTTGTTTTAAAGGGGGGTAAATACTCGCCGCGATATTTACATTAGAAAAATTGAATCGTAATGTAATACGAAACTACTTGTCGAGAAGGAGTTTTAAAAGTGATATTTTTAGGGGATTTTTAAATTGTAAAAATATTCTTAATAAAATTGTCTTGTTACCATGACAACTACTTTGAATGCTTCATGCTCGGAAAATACAACGGTTTTATCAGCAAGGCTCGGGTCTCTGCATGGATGTATTTCTAGTCGTTTAATTACATTTAATATTTCACATCTATTGAAAGTTGAATTCTCATGTCGGTTTCGAATGCTAGCCTCTCGAAGACTTGAGCGGCATAATAACACCATTTTTAGCGATCTTGTATGGGTTGTGTGTTCCGGAAATTAAATATGTTGATATCGTTAGTTTTTAGGAAAGGCGCAACAAATGATATTATATGTCATTATTATATGGCAAGCATCACTTCCGGTGAAATGGCGAACTGTGATTGGCTGAGAAGCACTTGCAGTCCATTACGTAAGAACAAGCGCATTCATTTTAAAACAAAACAGCAAAACTACTTGATAACTTGAAAATTATATTTTTTTTTTATTAGTAAGATATCTGCGAGTGGTTTTTAGTGGAAAAGAAGGAATACATTGGTATTTTTTTAGGAAAAAAACGTGTACGCGTCAAGTTGCTAATATGCATTTCAAATCATGTATTTCTTGTTTGTTTTCAGTATAAATGCCTACAAATGCCATATGATAAACTTCTTATTAACATCACCCGCTCTGTAAGTGCAGGGAAATATTGGACCTCGGTCTCTTTGTATACTGAAACCTCGCCCTACGTGCTCGGTATGTACAAAAAAGACCTCGATCCGATATTTCTCTGTACAAACCCCGTGTTCGGTTAATAATAAGAAGTTATTAATATATCAATATCTTACTCCTCTAAAGCGTGAAAACAAAGTTGTTGTATTCACGGAAGGATGAAATTAACACAATTGCGTGAAATTGGGCAGTTCAACTTTGTGCGAGTTATTTATCGCGGTTTCGCAATGTGGAAATAAGTTAACCGCTTGGAATTACTTTTGAATGTATTCTTTGGGATGGTCATGACTCAAATTTTTAAGTTTTTCATTATAAAAGTAAAAAATAAGGTTTTAAATAAGCTTCCATCCCCTTTATCAGAAAAAAACAGTGATCTTTCGCAAGTTACCATGGACGAACGGAACGAAATAATGTCTTCGTTTTCCCTCAAAGAAATATGACAAGTAAACATGGTCTTCCATTAGTGGTTAAGCGGCCAAAGCAGTTTATTTACAAAATAATCGTTCCAGTTCCAGGCTGAAATGGAACTTGAAGCTGGCTCCAGGTTCGCGAACATGGAGCCGCGAATCTGGAGCTGTCTGGCTCGTCATCGCTAATGCTTTCCTTTCCCCGGGGGTAAATAGCCGAGCGGAATTAGTACCCTCGCCACGGGCTTCGCCCTACACGCTCTGCGCCTGGCTCATTAATCAAAGATGACTATCAATACAGCAGAATAGACGCTGTCGTTTTGCTCGTCAAAAGTTGATCTGAAAGTTAAACAAACTGTATTTGAAAGAGTTTGATGCAGTTCACTGTGTTTCTCTTGTTATTTTGAGAATGAAACAGTTTAACATATTAATCCTTCTTGGAACTGCTGTGCTTTTCGTTGGTACTGGCGGTAAGTTTTCGCAAGTGTTTGTAGTGAGATTAATACAAAAGAACTCTTTGACTTGTGTTTATTAATTCATTTGTTTTGCATCCTCGATATTGGTAACTTAGGATTTAAAATTGCATGATAACTGAAAATACAATAATAAGTGTGTTTATTGACAACATTATTCACGCTAAACTATAAGTTTTTATATTGTTTTCTACAATTATATTAATATGACAATGTCACCAGGATTGCACGGTCTACTTAACATATTACTAGGAGCCAGTTGTAGAAACCGCTTTTCTACTTTTTAACCGCAATTCTGCAGGTAAACATTTGCAACTCTACAACAAGTGAGTTTTCTTGTTTACTTTCGCACTAACTGTAGTTAATTAAACAACAAATTGTTCTTCGTCCAACTAAACGCCTTTACAATCATTTCACTTTTAAATATCAAATTGCAACGGGTCTGAGTTCGGGTGTACTGTACTCATTTATTTTCATGCTGTGCCGCGTCATATGTAGGCCAAACCTAGCCCCTGGGGTTTCCCACCTCAACGGGCAATAAGAGGTGTAATGCACATTCACAAGCATTCTTTTGCACCTCAAGCCATACAACATTACCGCATACATTGCATATTTAAAGTTCACCGGTGCTTAACTTGCAGCAATGTTCAACTACAAAGGCCAACTTCAGAGCATATTAACTAATTGGATAACACCCATAAGCAAATATTACAGAAGAAAGGACTTCGTAGGCTACATGACGTCTACAACATATAAGGATATCCAATATAAATAAGTTTAGTTTCAATTTCGTTGAATTTACTAGCTTATGTGCTGCCGTGGTTGTGTGTTCAAGGCTCAGAAATAGTGTGTATAAAAATGTTATAGTAAGGCCAGGCATTGTCAATTTTTTACTGGATGAAGATGTATAGGATTATAGCTATGATCTTGAACATTTTTTCTGTACCTTATAAAGAAAACACGTTTTTAACATTTTATAAACATTATTAAAATGATATACGTGCAGTGTGTAACATACTCGAACCATGAGTCGCACAAATTTGAGCTAGAACTTTTGTGCGAAACATGGCTAGCAGCCGTATTCATGTGTGACTTGGCCTTCCTTACCAAACTGCTAACATAGGTCATCTCGTAATTATCTCGTATTATTATTATTTTTATTATCTCGTATTTAATACTTTTTCCCCTTTCTTAATTGTATTTTTTGTATTGTATTTGTATTGTATTTTTTGTTTGGTTCAAATTTAATAAATTGAAATTGAATTGAAATTTTTACTCGCATGTTTTGGGTGCCTTGCATGGTTCGGCGACTCACACTTAAGTAATTATAGGATATAAAAAATCTCAAGAATTCAATTCTTTGTATAGTGAAGATTGCGCTATAATTGTATAGCAACTGTATCTAAAACACACCTGATATAACACTATCAAATAACACCTATATTTTTATCATTCTCAAATAACACCTACATTTTTAGCTACTGAAAAATTTGAAAGCATTAATCAGTGCGGGAGTTGATCGTAGCCCGCAGTAAGCCAATCTGATCGACTATCGATTTAGGCAATTTAGGTCGTAGGATGAGCATCCAAAAGATGCAATTCCGTTGCATCCCTCGTGGAACTACGTAATTTTGAAATTTTCACATGAATCAATAGATAAAAACTTACTTTATCAGAATCCGTTGCTCCCCAAGCGAAACACGTGCACAATTTGCGAAAATAATCCCTATAAAGTTTGCCAGGACACGGGCAGAGCAGACATGCCTTTTAGGGCTCTGTTAAATCGATTTTAAGAACTTAATTTCGTGAGACATACAATTGATATAGCGATGAATCAAGACTGGCAACCACAATTCTCAAGCTGAATTGTTAATTACAACTAGAGGTTCTTTCAAATGGTTGGGTAGCTATGAGGAACTTAAAAAGTTTTGTGATAAAATCTTGAAGATCGACTCAAGATGGCTTGTGCCCAGAGTTGGATGTAAATCATTTGAAAACGAAGATATAACGATCAGCTGGTACTCAACAAATAATTCACTGATAATTAACGGTCAAGATGGTGAATCGCTTCGAAACGAGCTTAAATTGATCGCAAAACCAATGGACGAAAGCGTTGGGGATTCGCAAGATGACGAATTGATTTGTGCCGAAGGCGACAGTATACAGTAGCTTCAACTCGAATTCATGGGAAGGTAGACGAAGTTGTTCAATCGGAAGAAAGCCCTCAGGTAACTGCCAAGGACTCTTCTGAGTATGTTTACTTTCAAAATCAGGTAAGCGAAATTAAATCAAATCTAGATCAGCACATTGATAAAACGAGAGCGGAACTTCAACGAATAGAGGCATCTCTTGCAGATCAATTTCAGCTAAAAGAATTACAGTTCAACGAATGGACAAACGAACTTGCCAAATATTGCTTGTCCAACTTAGAGACCCAAAACTGTAAGCTCAAACAAGAAAATATTCAGCTTAGGATCGATAAGGACAATCTTAAAGATAGACTCAATTCTGTCTCCTACGTTGTCTCTGACCTAAACACCAAAATTAAAGATATCGAAAGTGAAAAGCTTAGTCTAGTCACTGCTATAAAGCTATTACAAGAAGACAACAATTTATCAACAATAAATAACAGAGATTCGGCTTGCAGTTCGTGGCAAACTTCAAGGTCTAAAGCACAAAGTAATGCGCATAATATTTCCTCTAATGGTGGGCATAATATAGCCGTACGCATGACTGATCAGAATAATCAAACACCAGAGGCAATGACAAAAACATCAAATACGTTTGATATCTTGTCTGTGGAAAGTTGTTCTGATAATGAAAGCGACACAAATGTAGATGATAGTACTTTGAAGCTCAACACTGTATAGCCTGCGAACAGGCTCTCAAGCTGAATTGAGAGCCTGCATCGATGACTAATGAATTTGAATATCTGGTCCGTAACGTTCGTTTTTTCAAATATGGAATGTCTATCCTTATATGGTGTTGTTTACAACTTTCGTGCAAACTAAATTTAGACTGTGCAAACTACATTTAGACCGTACAGTTTCTACTGTTTTTCGAAATATTATTCAAGCAAAATTTCAAATATTTTAAATACTGTTTTCTCAAAACAGAACATTTCGTGCTTTAGATAAGACGGCCAAGACCAATTTGATTAGTTAATGTGTTTTTTATGCATAGTGCTTCAGAAGTTGACATATATAGAGCTCAGCGGAAACATATAAATTGTAGCATCTGACCAATGAGAATTTCGCGTCACGATTTGAGACGCAGATATTCAAATTCATTAGTCATCGATGCAGGCTCTCAATTCAGCTTGAGAGCCTGTTCGCATGCTAAACACTGTATTGCCATCGGAATCTAGACTAAATAGCCCAAACGTCGACTCGAGGAAGTATGATAGTGCAGAAAAGAAAAATCAGTCAACCCAATCTTATGGTCAAAGCAAAAAGTCTAATTCAAAGTCCAATGATAATAATCGTAGTTATCGTACTGCGAATTCGAAGAGAGCCGCTACATCTCAAAAGGGCACTACAAATCAACCTAGTAAGCTTGTATTTATAGCTGGAGATTCAATAGTCCAACATGTCCACGGCTGGGCGTTATCTGATGCTGAACGGCGAGTAGCGGTAAAATCATTTTCAGGAAGCAAAATCGAAGATATGTGTGACCTCCTTAAACCACTTATCCGCAAAAAACCTGACGAGGTAATACTACACATAGGCACCAACGATGTAAAAGATAATTCGAAGACAGCAGAAGTGGTTGCATCTGGTATCCTGAATCTGGGTACTCAGGTTAAAGAATCTTTGCCACGTACCAAAGTAAGCTTCTCAAGTATAACTGTCAGGAAAAACAGACATTCTATTCAAAATAAAATAGAACATGTTAATGCTATACTTAAACGCATGTGAATTGAAAATAATTGGACCTATATAGATAATAGCAACATTGACTATACTTGTTTAAATAGGCGTGGTTTACACCTAAATAAAAACGGAAGCTCAATTATTAGTAAGAATTATAGCAATCATTTACGCTTAAATTGATATAATGTACAGCCAGGTGGAAACAGGCATACGCCGACTAACCCATGCTTACCTAATGTAAAGGGTTTTAAAATGGGTATGCTTAACATAGCTAGCTTACCTAAATATATAGAAGAAATTAGAGTAATATTAGCTAAAAATGTCTCGATATTCTCGCACTAAATGAGACATGACTAGATAATAATATTACCAATCAGGATATGTTTATTCACAATTATGATTTAATTAGGGCCGATCGCTCTAGAACAGGGGGAGACGTCTGTTTATATATATAAGAAACTCCATTAATTATTTCGAACGAAAAGATCTGACTAGAGATAATCTTGAAGCAGTTTGTATTGAGGTTAACAAACCCTCTTCTCCATCGTTTATTGTTGGTACCATTTATAGATCTCCAGGTGCTTCTGTCGACTCCTTTGCCAATATTGATCAATTAATTAAACTTATAGATGATGAGAATATGGAATTTTACATGCTTGGTGGTTTAAATGCCAATATGCTTGACGTTTCAAATAATGCCACAAAAAACTTAAATTCAATTATTGAACTATATCAGTTAATACAAACAATAAGCTCACCCACTCGCGTGACAATGACTTCATCTACCCTGTTGGATGTTTGTCTCACCCCAACTCCAGATAAGTTAGTCTTATCTAAAGTGGTGCAGATTGCTATCAGCGATCACTATATGATTTTAGTTGTTCGTAAAATTAATATTCGTCCTAAACAAAACAACCGCCACAAGAAAGTCGAAATTCGAAACTTTAAATATTTTAATGCTGAAAATTTCCTAATGGATTTGAGTAATCAGGAATGGGAATTGTTGGACAATAACTTCTGCGTTGACAGGATGTGGGAAACATGGAAAATTATTTTTTTGTCAGTTCTAGACAAGCATGCACCAACTAGAGAAAAGAGAGTCAAAAATATACCAAATATTCCTTGGCTGACTACAGGGGCGGCGCTACAGGGGGGGGGTGGAGCACCCCCCCCCCACTCGTCAGAAAATCGGCAAATTATTATCTTCAGTCGGCAAAACTGGATTGGCTAAAGATAACCACTGAAGAAACCAAAATTGACTTCCTGAATAATTGAATTCAAACCGAATATCACGACTAGCATGCATCAAAGAAACCACACATGCAGCAATGCAAATTCTTTCTAATTAAATTTGTTTGGTCGTTGTTGTTCAGTTGTTGTTGCTTATTATACTGTTCTATAAAAGAGGTAATAAAGCGGTCCGTTTTCCACTAGCGAATTTTTTCGCACGAAGCGACCTTTTCCTTTGTCGGTATCACTTATTACGTCAGCAAGACGTGGCAAAATCAGTCCTCGAAAACGAAGTCGGCATTCCAAGGTCGGCAAATTTTTGCCGACCTTAATTCAACCAAAGTAAAATTTTTTTTGATGCTGTTAGCTGCTAAAAAGTAGTCAGCGATTATAGAATTCGATTCGTAGTTCGATTAACTGAACACACACGGTGTAAGGTTTAAAAATTGGCGGGTATTGTGTATATACGTTAGGTGTCTGAAAATCAAATTTCGCGCGTCTGGAGTTAAAATAAATTTTTCGGCTGGAGGTAACGTTCCAGTTATATTCCGATTTCAATGATTCGTAAATGCGTGATTAATAGTGCTCCAAGACGTGAAACAGATTTTAAGAAATGCCGACAGACGTGCCGTCGACCTAGGTCAAATTTAGGTCGGCCCTTTTCTGCCGATCTCAATTTTGACGGTTTTCGAAGGCTTCAAAATAGATGCCGAGAAAGGAAAAAGGTCGCTTCGCGCGGAAAAATTCGCTAGTGGAAAACCGGCTTAATATAGGGTAATAAAGTGCATTTAGGTGCGGACCATTTGATTTTTGAGGGGGGGGGGGGAAGATTTAGAAAAAAGAATTCCTCCAATCCAAGGAGAAAGAAACAAAAAATCATGCAGCATATAATCGAAAAAAAAATCATGCAAAAGAGAGCGCTCAACGTTCTTCACTTCAGTATTGTGTCCACAGGCTTGCAAGATTTTGCATTTTTGAGCAGGCACATTTGCTTAAAAGAACAAGGGGTGAACAGTGGACAACATCACAGGGATTCTATGGCCTTTGGAGCCTATAACATACGATAGCCAGTGGCGTTCCCTGGAAAAATTGTTGCCCACCCCCCCTGAGAAAATTTGGGCTTAAGATATGTACAAGTTTATAAGTTATTTATAAATATAATCAAAGCTCATTTTTACATATTAATCAAAGCTCATTTTGTGATTTTCCCTTGTTTAAAATAAAGGACAGTAAGTGTTCGTTAGGCTTAGTACAGCAAAGTTGTTGGACGAATCCATGGCTGAAAACGCAGGAAATAGCATTTCCGAGCATTTCAAATTTTAAAATTTTCTCGGGGGAGCATGCCCCCGAACCCCCTAAAGTTACAGGTCATTCATATACTGTACCTCCCCCATTTTCGAGTACTCTACTCTATCCCTGCATGTTTTAGGTTTTGGTGCAGTTATACATTTTTTGTAAGTAAACCTGTATGTTTTAGTGTAGGGAACATTAAGACATAACCATATAAAATAAAGCACAGTGAAAATTCCTTGGCCCCTCTTGGAATTCAGTTCTCGGCCTCCTCTGACTCAAAACCCCAGCTGCGTCTCTGACGATAGTTATATGAAAGCTCAAAAAGAAATATTCTGCCCCGAAATATATTGGGACAAAAATATCTTGCGCTGCACTTTTACAGGAAAAAATATCTGTCTTATTCCCCTGGGCGGAAAAAAATTCTTGCGCCGTCTGAATCTTCCACCCCCCCCACAAAAATCAAATGGTCCGCCCCTTAAACATGCACATTTACTATAGGTTAATGACTCGGCAAAATTACCAAACAACGGTCGGCGAAAGATCACTCACACCCCCCCCCCACTCGAAGAGGGTTAGCGCCGCCTCTGGCTGACTAATGCAATTAAAAAACAAATACGTGAACGGGATCGTCTCAAATTCCTTGCCGTTAAATATAATTCAGAAAATTACTGGACTGCATATAAAACCTCTAGAAACCATATAACTAGTACACTGCGAGAAGCAAAAACAGCATATTATAAACAACAATTTGAAAGTGTAAAACATGACCCTAAAAAAGCTTGGAAAACCGTTAATAAATTCCTTAACCGGAAACAAGAATGTTGCGAAACAAATTGTATCCATACTCAGAATGGTCAAATTTCTTGTCCAAATGAATTAGCGGAGCGCTTTAATAATTACGTTACTGATATTGGTCCAAAAATTGCCACAACCATTGGTAACACTAACAGAAATTTCACGGATTACATAACCAAAACAACAAGTAGTTTCAAGTTTCAAACACTGTCTGAAACCAAAGTATACAAACTTCTCTCCTCTTTAAATATAATCTTTGTAAATCTACTGGAATTGATAAAATTCCCGCTAAAATTATTCGTATTGCTGCCCCAATAATAGCAAATTCACTGACAAGAATTTTTAATACGGCAATCTATAATAAAACTGTTCCTTCAGAGTGGAAACTAGCGAGAGTTATCCCTTTACACAAAAATGGCTCTCGAAATATGCTGAATAACTATCGCCCAATTTCCATTCTGCCTATAGTAAGTAAAGTTTTTGAAAAAGTTCTATATGGTCAACTATATGATTATTTTGTTGTTATTATAATAATTTGTTGTCTCAAAATCAATTTGGTTTTAGGCAGTTGCATTCTACAGCCTCTGTGCTTTTGGACAGTACTAACGAATGGTTCATTAATATGGACCGTGGTCAATTCAATATTGCAGTATTTCTTGACTTGCAGAAAGCAT